TCTATTTTCCGCTTGTTACAACTTGTAATAAAGTTGTTACATCTTCGCTTAACGTGTTTATGACGTATTAGAACGTTGTTACAATTTGCTATATTGGTTGTTATAACTGGTTAGGTGGTGTTAAAACTTGTTCGAACGTTTTACCAACGTCGTAGTTTCGGTATGTGTTTGGCGGGACAGTTGCTAAATCACAATGACATGTCTTTAGGTGCCATGTAAGACAAGCAAAGCCAACCCGTCCTCTTTCAAATTACGTCGCTTTCCGGTCGTATTACGTCGCTTTCCGGTCGTATGCGCTACCACCAAATATCGACGTAATTCAAAATGGAAATTTAATTTACAATTTTGTTTACCAAAACAGCAAGTTAAGGGTTCTCTGGTAGGTTGGAAGGGCAGGAAGTTCTCCTAAGGTTTCAAAACGTCATGGAAACCGTCAATTGAAAGTTTCCTCTCCTAACCAAACAGCCTAAGCCAGAGGATCCAAAACAAAAAACGGGAGAGTACGTCACTCTCATGAGCCGATTTCAATTTAAATTACGTCGATTTTTAGCCTGAGTGCGCATATGAGCTAAAAGCGATGTAGATGTAATATACACAGACTTTGCAAAAGCTGTCGACAAATGCGACTATGGTGTTATTGCGCATGAAATGTGCGCAAAAGGAATTACCGGCAAAGTAAGGAGATGGATCTTCAACTTCCTAACGAACAGAACGCAGAGTAGTCAATACAGTAGTCAATACAGTAGTCAACACAGTAGTCAATACAGTAGTCAACACAGTAGTCAATACAGTAGTCAATACAGTAGTCAACACAGTAGTCAATACAGTAGTCAATACAGTAGTCAACACAGTAGTCAATACAGTAGTCAATACAGTAGTCAACACAGTAGTCAACACAGTAGTCAACACAGTAGTCAACACAGTAGTCAATACAGTAGTCAATACAGTAGTCAACACAGTAGTCAACACAGTAGTCAACACAGTAGTCAACACAGTAGTCAACACAGTAGTCAATACAGTAGTCAACACAGTAGTCAACACAGTAGTCAACACAGTAGTCAACACAGTAGTCAACACAGTAGTCAACACAGTAGTCAATACAGTAGTCAACACAGTAGTCAACACAGTAGTCAACACAGTAGTCAACACAGTAGTCAATACAGTAGTCAACACAGTAGTCAACACAGTAGTCAACACAGTAGTCAACACAGTAGTCAATACAGTAGTCAACACAGTAGTCAACACAGTAGTCAACACAGTAGTCAACACAGTAGTCAATACAGTAGTCAACACAGTAGTCAATACAGTAGTCATCACAGTAGTCAATACAGTAGTCAACACAGTAAAATTCGATTCTTCTACTGTGAATCCCTATACGTACCGTACTTGCCCTAGTACTTTTTTCTCATCCTATTATCATACAGACAAGGATACAAACTACAGCACTGTATCATCATTTGCAGATGACATTAGGATTTTCATGCGAATAGACAATATAGAGAACACGGCAAACCTTATATTGGATATAAAATCGGGTCTTTCAATGGGCCACAAATAATAATATGATGTTTAATGAAAATAAATGCCAGCTCCCATGCTATGGAAAAAATGACAATTTAAAAGTGGAAACCCATATATAAAATGGAATGAAATCACACCAGAGAAAGAAAACGCAATGTGAAGGATCTAGAAGTAATCATGTCAGAAGATCTTACTTTAACTGACCATCATAAAGGCGTCGATGGGTAGACCCGACCACGGCCGCCGGAACCCCTTCTAACAGAACGACTGAGCGCTCTAGAAAATGGAAAGCAAAACTGTGTAGCATGGTCGACGGTGCCGGCCTTGCGTCCTCTTGTGAGGTTCCATCTTGCCACAAGTGGGTCGCATCCGGTACCCGTCTGCTAAGCGGAGGAGATTTTGCTCATGCCATCCAGATTAAGGCAAACGCTGTAGCCACACCGTCTGGAGCTGCTAGGGGTAGACCCGAGGCTTCTAGTCTCTGCGATGCTTGTCGGAAGCCAGGGACCCTGGGCCACATATCCTAGGCATGCTACAAGACACACGGGGCTCGGGTGAAACGTCATGACGACATCACCCGGATCGTAGCTGGCCGCCTGCGGCAAAGAGGTTTCGAGGTGGAACGTGAAGTTCGTATACCGGATGGAGGGACCTTCTGTAAGCCTGACATCATAGCTTGCAAAGGTGATGCAACCTTTATATTAGACACCCAGGTCTCTGCTGATAACTTCCCACTCTCCCGTCCACATCAGAGCAAGTGCGACAAGTACGGCACCCCAGAGATCCTTCAAAAGGTCAGGGAATATACCGGGAAGCACACAGCTTCCGCCTCTTCAATAACCCTTAATTGGAGAGGAGGATAGTGCAAGGAGAGTGCGCGTGGTCTACAGGATATTGCACTCACCAAGAGTGACCTTGAGATTTGCACTGTGAATGCCCTGACCTGGACATATTCCATCTACAGAATATGGTCCAAGACCACATCTAGGGGCAGACCACCTTACTCCCAGGATCACCGTGCACAGGGTGCATAAGGGTTAATAGTCTTGCTTAGGTGAACTGCAGCCGGGATAACTGGCAGCCAACTATCTAAGCAGAGTCGTCATCTGGAGTACTACTTCTCCTAATGGTGTCACACAAGAGGGTGGATGACCTGGCCGGAGCCCACTAGTGGGAAAGGCGGCGGCCGGAGTGACCCCCATGCGCATACATGATATCCCTCCCGCTCCGGGGCCTTGTTAGGAGCTTCCACTATGAATAGTTTTTCCATGTATGCCAATGTCAAGTCACCAATCCTGCCTCTTTAGAAGCTTGTTGTTTGCCTTCAGCTTTAGTTCTTTTCTAATGATATATTGTGCACCTCTCCCTTTGTGTGCTGTGTCCCATATAAGAAAAACAAAATACAAAAGAATTTTCCATTTTGTGTATGTTATTTTCATGTTATTATTATCATCTTAACTCTTGTGGGTTGTGATGAGATCTGCCATTTATGTGTGTGTATTTTAGTTTGTGTTTCATAGGGAATTAGGTATGCTTAGGGGTGGCTTCTCGCCATGCCCAGTGGCTGGGGGGATTGGCGCCCTGAAGCTACATAAACACCTTATACCCCCAAAGAGGGGGCAAGGGAGTTAGGGGACAACTACTGTCACTACTGCAAGAAAAATGACAGGTTGGATAACAAGGACCTTCCAAACAAGATATGCTATACCAATGATGACACTAGTTCTCTCTAGGGTGGAATATTGTTGCATTCTAACAGCCCCATTTAGAGCCAGAGAAATTGCTGACCTAGAGAGAGTGCAAAGATCCTTTACTACTAGAATCATCTCTATAAGCCATCTTAATCATGGAAACCCATTAAAAGTTCTAAATCTGTATTCTCTAGAGCGCAGGCAAGAGAGATACTTAATAGCCTACACGTGGAAAATATTTGAGGGACTGGGTCCAAATCTGAACACAGAAATAACATCACATGAAACCAGAAGACATGGCAGGATGTGCAAAATACCCTCGTTGAAAAGCAGAGGTGCAATAGGTACGCTGAGGGAGAACTTTAACAACATCAAGGGCCCAAGACTTTTCAACACTCCTGCTACAGGTAAGGGACATAACAGGCCGACCTCTCTCAGTGTTCAAGAGAGAACTCGATTAACACCTATAAAGAATACCTAATCAACCAGGCTGTGATTCATATGTCAGGCTGCGAACAGCCTGGTTGACCAGACGACCAACCGGAGAGGCCTGATCGGAGACTGGGCCACAATGCTGTTGATCCCAGGAAGCTATACAAGGTAGGCACAAGGTAAGTATTGAAATTTATTTATCCGGCAGGTAAATGAAAGCAGCATCATTCATGTTAGGTCTCCCTTATATGATGCAGAGCCATTAATAACCACTTCAGGAACTGTTACTCTAGGAGAGAAGCAGCTCTAGCTACTCCCACCAATCAGTAGCTAATCAGCTTTTGTCATCAATAGATTACTTTATTTAATTATAAGTCTCCTTATATTGAGGTAGTCAGAATAAATTCCATATACATTGTGCCTCACCTTAATATAAACTATAGTTCCATCCATTAGCTTCCAGTCACACTAGGTCATTAGAGTCATCGCCAGCTTCTCATATATGCGGAAGCTTCAGAAGATAGAACATATTTAGACTGGCACTGCAAGTATTGCCTCGTCTCACCCTTTTAATTAGCCTATTCATACGACACATAATATGCTTCCGTTAGTACCATACTTAGAGAAACAGTTCTTCATGTACTCATATATTTTCGCATCAGAACATACTGAGTGACGGCCGGGTTGACCAGGTCGACCCTTAAACGTTGTGCCATATAAGTGATAGTAGTCCTGATTGACCTGATGCCTGAGTCGACTTCGTTGATACAAGTAGATAAAAGTTAGTAGATTTTAACAGAATATGAAAAGAAGATATCTTTAGTCACTAGCTACACTTCACAGAAGACTGGCAACCCGTTCTCGCAAATTTAATAAGTCAATATTGACTTATTAAATATGTGCATAGGTGACATACTTAACATAATAGTTTCCCTTGAAAAGCTTCATAGAAAACACCGACCTTACCTAACCTACTTAGTATGTTAAGATAAGCATCTTATTGCTTCGTAATTACAATTCTTACCTAACCTATAATAGGTATAGGTTAAGTAATAATTGTAATTACGAAGCAATAAGATGCTTATCTTAAGATACTAACAAGGTTAGGTAAGGTCGGTGTTTTCTATGAATCTTTTTAAGGGTATCTATTATGTTTAGTATATCACCTATGCACGTAGTTAATAAGTCAATATTGAGTTTACGAATTTGCGAGAACGGGTTGCGACTGGATAGAGTTCAAAAGTAAGAGGAAGGCGAAGCACGTGCATCTCTTCCTAAATAATCAATGCTTCCCAGAGGGGAGAATATATAATCTTACAAGGGAATATTACAAGACTTAGGTTATCAGAACAACACTTTATACGAGTATTTATTACAATTATTTTGTCTACAGTTTGAGATTACTTATCTAAGATACAAAGTAAAAACAATTTAAGTTGCTTGTGGTGAAGGTCATTGAATCACGATAAACAAAATATAATATAGTGCAAGTAAAAAGTTATAAAGATTGACAAAAGTGCTGCCAAAGTTAGACATGTGTCTTTAAGTCATAGAAAATAGTTACGACTAACGGATCGACTTGCACTATATGCCTCGATCAATCTAATAATTCAAAGTAAAACTCGAGAAAGTTGTCAAATGTAAAAGGTTACATAAGAATAACAAGTGAACAACAAAGAAGACAAGACGATCTCTAGAATGGAGTCTCGGGTCGGCTATCAAGCCACTGCTTGATCTTGGGAAACTGGACGACCTTGTTAACGAGACCCTCCACGGCGGGGAACTCCTTCAGCACCTCCGGCTTCTTCTCCCTCACTCCTCCGACCACCAGGCCAATGAGCAGGTCAGCCCACGTCACCTGAGGAGCAGCACATTGTAAGTACATCAACTGAATAATTATTAAAATAACAAAAACATTTAGCATGTAAATAAATAAATAAATATGTTTATTCAGGTACGGTACATACATACATACAAGGGATGTTACATTAATGGATTGATAGATAGATAGAGCTAGTACATACAATGCCTAAAGCCACTATTACGCAATGCGTTTCGGGCAAGAAAAACATTAATATCTAGAACTTAATACTAATTGAGCATAAAGAATAAAAAGTGTTGAGAACAAATACAAATAAAGATAAAAAAAAAAGGGGGAACATGACTGAAAAAGCAGCACAAATACAATAGGTTGACAGTGTTGATTAAACAAAAAAAAATTACAGACATGGGTTGACAATAGAGGAGTGAGGTAGGACATGTGTTGTAATTAAGTTTACGGGGTTGTAATCACTGGTCACACTGTATATAGGTTCCCTGCCTTCACCTACATGTGACAGATGGCGACAATATAACATCCTGATATATTCATCTGAATCCTCACAGGTGGATGGCTCACTCAGCGGCCTGGTATAGTCTAGAGTGCGGATCTTTACACTATAAGGCAAGGTATACTTCCTCATTCATGGCGCCATTTTACTAAACAGGACACACCTTGCTAGAACTTTACATATTACTTACTTACATACTACGACCGCTGAGTACTAGTACTGGAAATTATTAATTGATATAATCAGCTAGATACAGATATTTGACAGAAAAATGCAGATGGGGGAAATGATAGTAGAAAAGGTGTTTGATGAAGACAATTTAAGCGATTTGCACAATTGACTTCATGCCACTTCAATTCGAGCGTGTCCACAGGGAATTGGAATGCTTCTGCCACGGAGAGAAGAGACTGACCTTGTCTGCGGCGAACCACTCCCTGGTGGCAAGCCGCTGGTTGAGGCGGGTCAGGAGAGGAGCGATCATGTTGGGGTACAGCTCCTCATCATACTTCTTTTTCTTCTCGTCCTCGTCTCCTGGAGCGAACCTGAGGGACAAGCATATGGCTTTATTTAACGAGTTTAACTTTATACTATTAATGATGCAGGCGAGGAGTCACAATAACGTGGCTGAAATATGTTGACCAAACTACACACTAGAAAGTGAAGGGGCGACGACGTTTCGGTCCGTTCTGGACCATTCTCAAGTCGAGAATGGTCCAGGACGGACCGAAACGTCGTCGTCCCTTCACTTTCTAGTGTGTGGTTTGGTCAATAATATTTAGGATGATAAAACTAATTCGAATATTGATGTCTCATCAGGAGTTGTTTACTAAAAAAAGGTGTCAATATAAAGATTAGTTAGTTGTAATACCCGTGTGAGAGATGTCAACCTATAGCCATACATACAGTATCTTGTAAACTTCAGTCATCACTTCATAGAGAGTGTCGGCCAGGGCGTCGCAGTAGGCAGCTTCGAGGTGGTCTTGAGGGACGAGGTCCGCCTGCTTGGCCACGTAGCGGGCGATGGCCAGGGACTGTGGTAGAGGCTTCCCGTCCACCATCAACACCGGCACCTTGCCCCCGGGAATGCCTGGGGGAGGAGGACATGGGTGAAAATCTATTGAGAACATGATTATCGACAACTTTTATGTAACCCATAGACTGCACTTCACGCTCGTGGGCATTTAGAATAGACCATGTGTGTTCATACCTATGAAAGGTTTAACGTCAGAGCACCTGGAGAGTACTTCATAAGATGGATGGTATAGTCGAGCTCTCTATTGATCCATTGTTTATATTGGAATACATTGGGTACACGTTATTTATCCTTTGTCTGCTTGTACTGATCACGTCCATGACGAGGATATTACTTTAGGGTAAGTGTGCTGTTTTAGTGATCTTTCTGGCCATTGTCACTCTCTCTCTTATGCCTTGAAATATACAGACGAATATATATACAAACTGACCAGTGATTCGTGTGAGAAGCAGTGTTGCCAGCTCAGTTATTGGGTTTTATATCCCAAAAAGACAAGAAAACATCTAAATAGATCTTGAATTCCAGATATACATCTTAAAAAAATAGTCTATACCATATATTTCGTAATAGTAATCTTTCAGCACAGTTAGTGAAACTAAAAATAATAACACTGAAATTTAATGAATGAAGACTAATAATGCTATTTACCTTAATATTTCTACATTGAACAAAGCAAAAAAATCATCCTCTTCAACATCATCTTTACCACTAGATGGTCCTGGTTGAGAGGAAACATCAAGACCTTTGTTGACCAGACCACACACTAGAAATTGAAGGGACGACGACGTTTCGGTCCGTCCTGGACCATTCTCAATCGACTTGAGAATGGTCCAGGACGGACCGAAACGTCGTCGTCCCTTCAATTTCTAGTGTGTGGTCTGGTCAACATACTTCAGCCACGTTATTGTGACTCATCGCCTGCATATCAAGACCTTTTTTTGGTTGTGATGTCATTCAACAACTTGGATGAAAGTTTAAGAGTTGCAACACATCTCAAAGCTGGATATTGACCATCCAAATATCATTTACCAGTTCTTAATTCATTTTATTTCTCAGCTTGCATTTTGTGTAGATTGTCGAGCTGAATACTCTTGTTATTTCAGCATTTGAATGTGGTAATGTTAATGCAGAGATGGCGGCATATTGACAATTTTTTTTGAACATAAGAACATAAGAACAAAGGCAACTGCAGAAGGCCTATTGGCCCATACGAGTAATTGGTCCATTTGTTTCAAATGGATTTTCTACCGGCGGCATCTTTAAATTAAAGAACTTCTTTCCAGACGGAGTCAGCATATGTTTTTTTATTCCAATCAACTAAATTCCTTTTAGTTAATTGGTATTCAATCTCAGCTGTTGCTTCTTGTGATGCAGCTAAACTTTATTTGCTGAGAAACGAGATGTTTTGCAAACTTTCATATTATCAGGAAGCCCGATAATATAGCTGTTTCACCTGCTTCAGCTGTTGACACAGACAGCCTCTACTTCAGTTGTTGACACAGACAGCCTCTACTTCAGTTGTTGACACAGACAGCTTCTGCTGTTGACACAGACAGCCTCTACTTCAGTTGTTGACACAGACAGCCTCTACTTCAGTTGTTGACACAGACAGCTTCTGCTGTTGACACAGACAGCCTCTACTTCAGCTGTTGACACAGACAGCCTCTACTTCAGTTGTTGACACAGACAGCTTCTGCTGTTGACACAGACAGCCTCTACTTCGGTTGTTGACACAGACAGCCTCTACTTCAGTTGTTGACACAGACAGCCTCTACTTCAGTTGACACAGACAGCTTCTGCTGTTGACACAGACAGCCTCTACTTCAGTTGTTGACACAGACAGCCTCTACTTCAGTTGTTGACACAGACAGCCTCTACTTCTTGTTGACACAGACAGCCTTGTTGACACAGACAGCCTCTACTTCAGTTGTTGACACAGACAGCTTCTGCTGTTGACACAGACAGCCTCTACTTCAGTTGTTGACACAGACAGCCTCTACTTCAGTTGTTGACACAGACAGCCTCTACTTCAGTTGTTGACACAGACAGCCTCTACTTCAGTTGTTGACACAGACAGCCTCTACTTCAGTTGTTGACACAGACAGCCTCTACTTCAGTTGTTGACACAGACAGCCTCTACTTCAGTTGTTGACACAGACAGCCTCTACTTCAGTTGTTGACACAGACAGCCTCTACTTCAGTTGTTGACACAGACAGCCTCTACTTCAGTTGTTGACACAGACAGCCTCTACTTCAGTTGTTGACACAGACAGCCTCTACTTCAGTTGTTGACACAGACAGCCTCTACTTCAGTTGTTGACACAGACAGCCTCTACTTCAGTTGTTGACACAGACAGCCTCTACTTCAGTTGTTGACACAGACAGCCTCTACTTCAGTTGTTGACACAGACAGCCTCTACTTCAGTTGTTGACACAGACAGCCTCTACTTCAGTTGTTGACACAGACAGCCTCTACTTCAGTTGTTGACACAGACAGCCTCTACTTCAGTTGTTGACACAGACAGCCTCTACTTCAGTTGTTGACACAGACAGCCTCTACTTCAGTTGTTGACACAGACAGCCTCTACTTCAGTTGTTGACACAGACAGCCTCTACTTCAGTTGTTGACACAGACAGCCTCTACTTCAGCTGTTGACACAGACAGCCTCTACTTCAGTTGTTGACACAGACAGCCTCTACTTCAGTTGTTGACACAGACAGCCTCTACTTCAGTTGTTGACACAGACAGCCTCTACTTCAGTTGTTGACACAGACAGCCTCTACTTCAGTTGTTGACACAGACAGCCTCTACTTCAGTTGTTGACACAGACAGCCTCTACTTCACTTGTTGACACAGACAGCCTCTACTTCAGTTGTTGACACAGACAGCCTCTACTTCAGTTGTTGACACAGACAGCCTCTACTTCAGTTGTTGACACAGACAGCCTCTACTTCAGTTGTTGACACAGACAGCCTCTACTTCAGTTGTTGACACAGACAGCTTCTGCTGTTGACACAGACAGCCTCTACTTCAGTTGTTGACACAGACAGCCTCTACTTCAGTTGTTGACACAGACAGCTTCTGCTGTTGACACAGACAGCCTCTACTTCAGCTGTTGACACAGACAGCCTCTACTTCAGTTGTTGACACAGACAGCCTCTACTTCAGTTGTTGACACAGACAGCCTCTACTTCACTTGTTGACACAGACAGCCTCTACTTCAGTTGTTGACACAGACAGCCTCTACTTCAGTTGTTGACACAGACAGCCTCTACTTCAGTTGTTGACACAGACAGCCTCTACTTCACTTGTTGACACAGACAGCCTCTACTTCAGTTGTTGACACAGACAGCCTCTACTTCAGTTGTTGACACAGACAGCCTCTACTTCACTTGTTGACACAGACAGCCTCTACTTCAGTTGTTGACACAGACAGCCTCTACTTCAGTTGTTGACACAGACAGCCTCTACTTCAGTTGTTGACACAGACAGCCTCTACTTCACTTGTTGACACAGACAGCCTCTACTTCACTTGTTGACACAGACAGCCTCTACTTCACTTGTTGACACAGACAGCCTCTACTTCAGTTGTTGACACAGACAGCCTCTACTTCAGTTGTTGACACAGACAGCCTCTACTTCAGTTGTTGACACAGACAGCCTCTACTTCACTTGTTGACACAGACAGCCTCTACTTCACTTGTTGACACAGACAGCCTCTACTTCAGTTGTTGACACAGACAGCCTCTACTTCAGTTGTTGACACAGACAGCCTCTACTTCAGTTGTTGACACAGACAGCCTCTACTTCACTTGTTGACACAGACAGCCTCTACTTCACTTGTTGACACAGACAGCCTCTACTTCACTTGTTGACACAGACAGCCTCTACTTCAGTTGTTGACACAGACAGCTTCTGCTGTTGAAACAGACAAAAGTAAAACTTTGACATCTGTGTCTCAAATTTATTCTTCATTTGATGTAATAATTTTGTTCTTAATTCTTGAATTTTTGTTTCAGAGTGGTAGTCCAGGTACGACTTTGTGTTTCAGAGTGGTAGTCCAGGTACGGCTTTGTGTTTCAGAGTGGTAGTCCAGGTACGGCTTTGTGTTTCAGAGTGGTAGTCCAGGTACGGCTTTGTGTTTCAGAGTGGTAGTCCAGGTACGGCTTTGTGTTTCAGAGTGGTAGTCCAGGTACGGCTTTGTGTTTCAGAGTGGTAGTCCAGGTACGGCTTTGTGTTTCAGAGTGGTAGTCCAGGTACGGCTTTGTGTTTCAGAGTGGTAGTCCAGGTACGGCTTTGTGTTTCAGAGTGGTAGTCCAGGTACGGCTTTGTGTTTTGTGTTTCAGAGTGGTAGTCCAGGTACGGCTTTGTGTTTCAGAGTGGTAGTCCAGGTACGGCTTTGTGTTTCAGAGTGGTAGTCCAGGTACGGCTTTGTGTTTCAGAGTGGTAGTCCAGGTACGGCTTTGTGTTTCAGAGTGGTAGTCCAGGTACGGCTTTGTGTTTCAGAGTGGTAGTCCAGGTACGGCTTTGTGTTTCAGAGTGGTAGTCCAGGTACGGCTTTGTGTTTCAGAGTGGTAGTCCAGGTACGGCTTTGTGTTTCAGAGTGGTAGTCCAGGTACGGCTTTGTGTTTCAGAGTGGTAGTCCAGGTACGGCTTTGTGTTTCAGAGTGGTAGTCCAGGTACGGCTTTGTGTTTCAGAGTGGTAGTCCAGGTACGGCTTTGTGTTTCAGAGTGGTAGTCCAGGTACGGCTTTGTGTTTCAGAGTGGTAGTCCAGGTACGGCTTTGTGTTTCAGAGTGGTAGTCCAGGTACGGCTTTGTGTTTCAGAGTGGTAGTCCAGGTACGGCTTTGTGTTTCAGAGTGGTAGTCCAGGTACGGCTTTGTGTTTCAGAGTGGTAGTCCAGGTACGGCTTTGTGTTTCAGAGTGGTAGTCCAGGTACGGCTTTGTGTTTCAGAGTGGTAGTCCAGGTACGGCTTTGTGTTTCAGAGTGGTAGTCCAGGTACGGCTTTGTGTTTCAGAGTGGTAGTCCAGGTACGGCTTTGTGTTTCAGAGT